AACATGAAGTATCTAAAGTAGTTGTCATGGTAACACGATAATTTTTTAAGAATATTCTTACAAATGAAAAATCGCCTAAAAATATCACTTTTAATTACAAAATTATTAATTTCCCAACATATATATGTTAGGTATGTTATTATACATAATATAAGCCTCAATTTAAGGTAAAATTCAACCACAAACGCTTCGCAAAACGTTTTCAAAGTCACTATAGTGTTATAAAACTAAACTGCCTTTTAAAATGGCTTTATCGATAAACTTTGAGTTTGCAAATAACTTTGCTTTTGTTTTTATTTAAAAAATTCAATATCATAAGAAACGAATCAATATTAAAGATACACTGATATTATATGCTGTTTTGTTTAGTTGTTTCATATACGCAAAGGCCGTCAGGTTTTAAATCCATTATAAAATCAATATTTAAAACAAACTTACCTTCGTTAACGTCGGCTCCCTTCTTTTAGCCGATTCTTTCGCAGTTTCTTTCTCAGAGAGCTTTTGAAATTTACAAAATCTTGCAAAAATGCGAGCAAAATGAAATATATTTGCAAGAAATTTATCAATCATCAAATCAAGAAATGTTTGCTTTTTTGCTGTCGTCATGCAGTCGTTATAATGCAAACTTTAAATTGGACCAATCGGTGTTCGCTATTCGTGATAGTCCACCATATTTTTGAGATCAGTGAGGATGACCACCCACCCAACACCGTTGGTGACCCACGCCCGCGATAATTGATGAACTTTAGACTCCGCTAATGCTTTCGTTTCCCTGGGTGTAAATAGCCGGGGGGAATTAGTACCCTTGCACGGCCACAAAACCAATGGCAATGACAGGCGCGTAGCCAAGGGTGGGAATGGGGGGTCCTGACCCCCCACTTTTTGTAATGATCAATATTGTAATTCTTCCAAAAGTGAGAAGAAACTAGGGGGGTTAAACTCTCTTTATATATTAATTTGACGTGTTATATTATTAGTTTATTGCGCACATGCTTTGTTAATCTCGTAAATATTTCATCTATGGCATAAAATAGGCCAAATCTGTGGCATATAGATCACCAAAAGGCCATGCCAAATATGCGCGTGGGGGCGTTTCGCTAACCTTAAAATTGAAACATTTAAGTACTTTTATGTATTTGGCACTTTAGGCCCCCCCCCCATTCGTATGGGGCTGGCTACGCCGCTGGGCAATGAAAGCTCTTTATATAATATTTATAATGTGCGGGTGTATATTACTGTAATAACTATGAAATAATTGTTATATATACGCATATTATACAATACTATAAATAAATATAAAATTCAAGTTGTACCGCACGCACAGACGAGTCTTTGACTTTGCCTACATCGGATGATACACGTTTGATAACAGAAAGCTATACTTGAACATAATATATTCTTGATCATGGAGTCTCAGCGATGGCCAAAACGGCATATATCGCATTCTTTAACAGGCTCTAACAGTCGGGAGAGCATGTTTAGAATTTACACACAGTTGGCAAGATAACAGGATCTCGTTATTTTATAGCAATTCCACATCTCTATATGTAAGGTAAATCCGTTGGGTTTACGTATCGGACAGGATACCCCTTATCACTGACAACAGTCACAACGTAACCATGCAAATCGTTCACTCAACATATCTAGAAGATTTTTACACTTTTTGATTGTGTTTTTATAGCGAAGCGTGCTTTCTTTGCCAAAAGCCTTGTGTCCACTGAAATCTGATCCAACTTCTCGCTTGACTAATGTAACCCAGCACACAATGATACAAAGGACAAAGTCATGTCATAATAAATACGAAATGGCTTTCAGGGTTTCTTGTTGCAAATTTAAATTTTATTATCCAAAACTATAATATACACAACTACACAAGTTGTCATTTTCCAAACGCGCTTCCCTGCCACCCTACCCTAATGACAATTTTAATTTACCACGCGAAATCCGCGTGAAACGTGACCAGCCCCAGCCAGGGTCTTTCCTCATTCTTGTGTAACCAGAGTCCTTCTTACGCGCGGTGCGACGAGGGGCTCTGGCCAAATCCCAAACCGGATATCATAAATACATGATAAAAGAATATATCCGGTATTAGAACAATAACCTTCGTCGTAGCCAATCAGATTCCAGTTTGATATGGATTTGACCAGTGCCCCTCGTAAGAAGGGCTCTGGGTACGAGAATGGGTCTTTCCTCAACAAGAGGGAAGAGCCTGGGAACGAGGTTGCGGCATAAGTGGCATTCACGCATTGTCCCAGGAATAGTGAATTCTTGCCGAATGAATTTGCTTTGGTTTTGATGGAGAAATTAAAAATATGTGGATGTTTATCCCCGAGCCGATGGTGCGAAGCGCCGTGCGAGGGTACTAATTCCCCCCGGCTATTTACACCCGGGGAAACGAAAGCATTAGCGAAGTCTAAAGTTCATCAATCATCGCGGGCGTGGGTCACCAACGGTGTTCGAGTGTTGGGTGTGTGGTCATCCTCACTGATCTCAAAAATATGGCGGACTGTCATGAATAGCGGACACTGATTGGTCCAATTTAAATTTTGCATTATAACGACTGGCACGACTGCATCACGACAGCGAAATAGCAAACATTTCTTGATTTGGTGATTGATAAATTTCTTGCAAATATATTTCATTTTTGCTCGCATTTTTGCAAGATTTTGTAAATTTCAAAAGCTCTCTCAGAAAGAAACTGCGAAAGAATCGGCTAAAAGAAGAGAGCCGACGTTAACGAAAGTAAGTTTGTTTTAAATATTGATTTTAAAATGGATTTAAAACCCAACGGCCTTTGCGTATATATGAAACAACTAAACAAGACAGCATATAATTTCAGTGTATCTTTAATATTGATTCCCTTTTATTATAGTGAATCTTTTAAATAAAAAAGAAAGTAAAGTTATTTGCAAATGGAATCATTTTATTGCAAGCTCAAAGTTTATCGATAAAGCCATTTAATTAAAGGCAGTTTAGTTTTATAAAGAACACTTTAAAACGTTTTGCGAAGCGTTTGTGGTTGAATTTTACCTTAAATTGAAGCTTATATTACGTATAATAACATACCTAACATATATATGTTGGGAAATTGATAATTTTGTAATTAAAAGTGATATTTTTAGGCGATTTTTCATTTGTAAGAATATTATTATAAAATTATCGTGTTACCATGAGTCATGACAACTACTTTAGATACTTATATGATCATGTTCGGAAAATACAATGGTTTTGTCAGCAAGGCGAGGGTTTCTGCATGCATGTATTTTCTAGTCATATGGATGTTTATTATATGGATGTTTATTTCTTGGTAAATTGGCGACAGATGGATTCAACTTTGAAAACATTCAAACGATTCAATGTGAAACGGAAAAGCATTCACACCGACCTGGTAACCTGTTTTGTAACTTTGTATTTCTTATCTCGCTTATAGTTTATATTATAAAATAAGAGTATTTTATGTTAATTAAATGACAATACAGTATGTTAAATAGCGTCATACTGCATAACATCTGATATCGGTTTGACAGTTTTTTGACACTGTAGTACAAATATACTAATATATTTATATTTGCTGCCCATGCAAAGTCAATAGAATACCAGATCACTTCACCCAGTACTTAGATATAAAATTTACAGGGCCCTGTTTACATGAAACTGAGACGAAGTCAAATCTTACGGGAATGAAAATTTGAATTGCAACATGTTCACATGAAATGTATTTGCATGTGTTTACGTTCATCCCAGTATGGAATCTAAGCGCTGTTCGCCGGACATGACAACCAGCTCTACAGCAATACATTTACTAGTATTTGGTGCACATGTCCGGCACACAAAAAAGTCTCATTCCATACAGGCGTTCATCCCAGTCTGAATTCATGCCGGTCTGAAGTCAGTTGGCTCGGTCCAGCAGGCGAAATCAGAGGTCTGAGTTATTTTCTTTCCGGTCTCATGTAAATATCTATTATAAGTAATACTATGACCGAAACAAAATGGTCCCGGTTTGATTAAATTCGTTCTGGTCTCATGTAAACGGGGCCTTATTCAAATTACCTTAGTTTCCCTAATTATCCTGACCAGCCTGTACAACAAACAACAAAAATTTATTACATGCACATGCATGGTATTAACCCATGAAACTCCCCATGTAATCTTTCAAAATCATTTGAGCAGGTAGTCTTAATTGTCATTGAAATCTTGCACTGGTTCCAAGATTACAATCGTTCCTCGATGTTGGCAGAATTCTTTTCGACAACAAAGGCTTTTCCTTCTTTTTTATGAGATTTAAAACCCCATGCCATGCAAGCTCATTTGGTACAAACACTCTTTTCTCATCTGTTGGTTGCACTTCATAACCCATATAGTGATTCCAAAATAATACTGTTTGTTGGTTGACGCGTTAATAAATGTGTGTGCAGAGGCAATCTCTAAAGACGACGGTTTATCAAACAATGTATGTGTGTCGGCCAAACATAGTTCGATTGCAACTATAAACTCAGCTGTTGATGAACCTGAACATATGTCTAATCACTGTATTAAGGACTTTGAACTAACTGATAATCATCAAAAGGTCAGTATAAAGCATGATTTCAAACTTGGCTGTCAGTGTAGAATTTTAGCTGCTGATTTGGAGGGAGTTAAGCTCGATATAGCAATCATGTGCAGGGACATAGAGACTAAGTTTCTTGCAGCTTACAATTCACGGGATAGTGATAGTGAACAAATAAGTGAACTTAAACACGAGCTTCTTAAGGAAAAGGAGAAATGTAGTCAGTTGGAGGCTGATATATCTATTTTGGTTCGAGGAAGGAATAGGGATATAAACGAATTAAAAAATACCATTACCTGTCTCGAAAACAAACTTAAATCAAGCGATGCGATAAATTAATCCCTAAGACAATCGCTAATGCAAATTAATTCGGAAAAATTCAGTGGTGTATTGAGTGCCGAACAAAGCCTGTCAAACCAACCTGAACAAATTAATACTTATAACTGCATCATAGACACTATAAAATCGATAGAAACTGCAAATTCAAACCTAGGAATTTGTTTACCAGGTGAACCATTTATTCCCGAAACAGTCAGCGTTGAAAGCCCCCTTGATAATTCATGTTTAATTGTCCAACCAGCAAGTTGTAATAGAACCAACAATATACTCGACAACAAAGGTGAAATTAACAAAGTGAAGTTAATGGAGCATAATATGAATAACGACAAAATCAGTAAAGCTAAGGTCTCGCGAAGTTACTCTCGACGCAATCATAATTCTCCCCCTTACTGTGAGCCATTGTCGCTAAAATCGCTTGGAAACTTGCCTCTTATCGAAATATCCAAGCCATTTATAACTCAGAAGAAGGAAATCTTTTTAGAAAACCCATCAAATATATTGAATGATAATACAACTAGCACCGACACAGTTACTCAGCATGTGTGCATTGGCCAAATACCAGCTGATATCTCTGAATTTATTGTCTTAGACGGCGACGAATGCATGTCTGAGGGTGACAATACTAAGTGGCGTTAGAAGCGGATTTATGCGCTTCAGATATTGACATATGTGTCATGTCGGAAACCCATTTAAACAATAAAATTCCAGACTCCGTTGTTGCAATGGCATCATATAACCTATACCGTAGAGATAGAGACTATAATGCAGATACACGAAAAAATGGAGGAATTGCAGTATATCTTCGACAGAACTTGGAAGTAATTTGTGTCATTCGGGAAACAGAATTTGAAATGATTAGTATTATACTTATCCTCCCAACGGGACATAAAATGTTAGTTATTGGAGCCTATCACCCTCCAAGATTTAGTTATGATGAAACAGATTTTTTGAATCGAATTGTGGAAGTTGTTGACGATTTTTTAGACATTAACCCAAATGGCTTAGTTCTCTTTGGTGGAGACATTAATCATCTAAACGTTAGTCAACTTTCCACAATGTCTGGCATGTTGCCTTTGGTAGACTTTCCCACTAGAGGGCAAGCAATTCTTGATAACTGTTTTACAAATAGACCGGAACTTTTCAATAAAGCATACCCATTGCATATACAAATGAAAACAGACCATTTGGGAGTCATAATCCCAGCAGGAATAAAATTGAAGCCCCTCCGCAGCTTTAGGGACTACAGAGCACAGAACAAAGTCAAATTTCAAAAGAAGCTTGCCGAGAAAAGTTGGT